TCTAAAACACGCGAAAGCTTTCGAATTTACTTTGTAATCAATCATAATTAATACAAAATAAATACAAATAGTATGGATGGATGCAGGTATTGAGAATATAACTCTCTAACTATTAATTATATAATTACCCAAAGTGCCCGTAGAGGATGCTGGAGGTTCCGCCAAATAAATCAAAGTAATTATTAATCAATAAAATAGTATATTGCATTCGACAGCTCTTGCAATATATATCTACCCATCGTGAATCCAGTTAAAGTCTTAGTTAATTAAGAGTCCATCATTAATTACCGACTATAAATTATTTATGATTGCTATTTATACTCTTGTATTGATTGCCGACCATCACATAAATATAAATATCGTGGACACATTTAATTTCATAATGAATCGAAGCATAATATAGTTGCATTCATCAATTGTACGAAGGATAAGTATCATTTTAGATTAGTAAGGATCATAATATCCTTCCAATCCAATTAAAAAATTTCTATGACAGCATACAAATCCCAAGACCTTCTCCATTCATTAAGCATGCATTGGCTTTGACATACTTAAGCCAACAAGACTAAACAATGTTTAGACTCGCTAATGTCTTCCACAGATTAGACAGTATTCTATTGTTTGCCAAGGCACAAGTCTTTGGGTTGGTTTTGTATCAGATCTGGTCTACGATTTCCACGTCAATTAATCTGGTAGTTTATTAATTCTTTCGAAGGCACAATTTATGAAATTTGAAATCATTGTGGTTGCGCTGTCGTTCTGTTGCTATATTTAAAATAAAATAAAAATTTGATAATCTTTTAGTAACCAAATTTAGTTTTTGGAATTATTATAAAAAATAAAATGTAAATTTAATGTGTTGCGAATGTTTTTACAATGTGCTGCTTCATTTAGAATTTGTCGCATGTTTAATTTCACATCCATTAGCCCATAAATCAACTCTACAAATTAAATTGACACTCTTCCCTACTAACAAATATGGATGATATGTAATATGTGTATCAACATGTGATAGTATGTGTATCACCCAACATGTATACTAGTGTTTAATTTTCACCAATATCTCGTGAAACATATATAAAGTCTGTCTAATTTTTTTATTTTTTTTTAAAAAAAAAAATCTTCAAGAATGTCCAAGAAAATGATACTAACAAATTCCATATCTTACCGAAATGGAATAAACCTTTGTAACCAGCAATCATGCATGTTAACCAACAATCGAATGGATACATCACATCAATATCATGCTCTCTTTCATTAATTTAATATGACTACATATGAGGAAAAACACGAAGAGATGGAAAGGTTTTCAACGATAATGTCAAACAGAGAAGGATTAGCGGGTAGAACATCAATGGAGATGGTTTTGAACACATTTATTTTTAACTGATAAAGAAGATGATGATATATGGTTTGATTAATTTTTACTCTTCTTCCATGCTTGACGCTATAATTAAGATTCATGAGTCCATTAGGTCTGAGCCAAAACTGATTAGTGGATTAGCAGATTTGATTGGCTCTGACTAGCTTTTATACAACAATGTAAGAAAGGGTTTGTAAATAAATGTGTTGGATTACATTATTTATTTAAATTTTTTTTTTTTTTAAGGCAAGATTAGATGTTAGATTAGTAGATGTAAAGAGTGGCACTCCAAGATTCATGAGAGGCACTAATCTACTGGATATCGGGGCAATTGCCATTATGATGATGAGGCATATGCATTAGAATTGTAATTTTTGACAAAAGTCATTATGATTAATTGTTTTAGAATTGTTTACACAAAACAAGGGTTAATGGTATTTGAATCCTTGAAGTTTGAGTTTTATCATTATATCAATCAATAAACCTGGTTGTAATATTCATATGAACTAAAATATTTTGTTTATCAGTAAATGTGAATAATCCTAGTTGTAATATTCACATGAATTAAAATATTTTGTTATGTATGTGTGTAAATAGGGTAAAGTGATAAAAACACTAATAATGTTTAACATTTAGACAAATAGCACCCCTTAACCTTTATTTTGGATAAATAAGTCCGTTAAGTTTTTAAAAATAGGCAAATAATGGCTTAATTAGTATAATATGTCAAAATTTCACATTTAAGTAATCATGTGTGTATGCACATACCTATATTAAGTAATATATTTCCTAAATTTCATTTTGATCTCCCAAAAATGCCCTTATACCATTTTACATATAAACACATCATTTCCTTTCTGGTTAAGGTACTTTGGTCATTTTACATTTTTTATCTTTCACTTTTTTTTCCAAATATATAAGGGCACTTTGGCCTTTTAATTGACCATTGACAACAAGTTCTTATTTGCACCAAAAATAAAAATTAAAGACTTTTAAAAACCAAGTTATATATCCTATTTACATATCATATCATATGTGTGCTTTTGTCTCCCGACTGTATAAATATAAACAGATGCACATATTTGGTTGTGTGTTAAATTACAAGAAATTATTTTCCTTTATGAAAAAAATAAAATGGTGTGTTTGTAACTTGTAAGTAATAATATGTTCCCAGCACTAATTTTCACTTTCTTTGAAAAATTGGAGCAATCTAATGGGCCATCAGAACAACGGCAAACTCTATTTTTCTCCAAAACTCTAGGTATCCTTCATAAACTTTCTCTAATTCGATTTTTTTTTTCCCCTCTAAAACTCGTACCCTTCATAAACTCTTTCTAATTCGAATTTTTTTCTTTCTATATCTTTATCATCATTGACCTCTTCACGTCAATTTAAATTGATTTTCTGACACTTTAATCATTGTATCCCAAAGTTTCATAGCATAACACGTTAATTAATAACAATAGTACGTTTTATACATGTTTTATACATTTAATAATGACAAGGGGCTTGAAGATTGATTCCGAATTCTTCTTTTTCGAAGTGTGCTATTAATCTCTATTTCATTATTTTCAAGTTTAGATAATCTATAATATTGATTTATAAAATAATTATTTAAATTCATAATTCTTATTAAGATCACCATCGCATCAAATTCATCAAGTAAAATTTTTTACTTGAATATTTTGGCAACCCTCAACCACAAAAGCGCGAGAGAGAAGATGAGACCTCATCATGGATAAACTTGAATATGGCTTATGAACTTCCGCTGACCAAAAAAAAAAAAGAAAAAAAACTCAGAATATAAGAAAGTCAAATAGTAAAATGGTTTTTAGAAATTTAAACATGTTGATTTATAATGTGATTTCTTACTCTAAAATTATATTATCTAGTGAAAATATTACCTATGGTAGCCAAATTCAACCCATCACTAAGTATTAATCATGTTAGACCTCTAGTTACCTTCATAAACTTTTTCTCTACATCTTTCTATTAGTCTCCTTAGTAAGTAATGGCTTTCATCATTGACCTCTTTGTGTCAATTTAAACTGATTTTCTGACGCTTCAATCATTTTATCTCAAAATATCATAGCATAACCCATTAATTAATACCATAATAAGTAGTACATTTTTTAAAATACTTTCTATCGCTCGTCAATCATTTTATTAGTTGTTATTTACAAATCTCAATAAATAAAAAATGTCAGTACTTTCTGATTTATTCTCTCTTGATACACTCATATTCCCTAATCCTTGAAAAACATATTTTATCTGAAGTTACCATATTCTTCAAAATTTAAATTTCCTAGTTCATTTTTAAGTCTTAATAGTATATTTAAAATGATTAAATTAAACCTACACTTCTCCCATTTCTTATCTAGTGTGTGTGCCCCACCCGAGTCACACAATCAATAGTACACCTTTTCCATAACTTATCGTGTCTCAAGTTGCACAATATTTCTAAATGGGTACCGCTCTGACGTTTCGAACGCGCTCCCGCTCTGCATGCACTCTCGCTCCCATTATAGTGTTTGTGACTTAATTTTACTATTTTCACACTCTTACACTCGAATTCGCTCTCTCTCCCACACACGCTTTATGTGACTTAGTGTGTGCCTTCTACCCAATGCACAGGAACATATCTCCTGACCTCTCCAGCTTCCCAGCTTGTATCTGACCTTTATGCCCTCGATCACCTGAACAGATGAGAGCATGACAAAACAAAACGAGAAATAACCACTAGTATTTTTTTGTCTCATACCCTTTTTGAGTTCAGACTCGGTTCATAAATGCACATCTCCACTACCCTACCCTTCTCATTCTTTAATAAATCTATGCTTGAGAACAACTTTTTCCTCCAAAGCAAAATTAAAAACGGTTATTACTCCAGTAATTTGAGAAACTACCACATTGGCAAAAATAGGCCATCTTGTAAATTCAACAACAATAACGTGTTGTTGGCTTTCTTTGTAGTGTTTCCGAAATCAAAACTCCTCGGAACATTACAGGGCAGGCGGCTTTCAGCTCTCCCTGGATTTGGCATGGTGCCATGGAACGCAGATAATCTAGGAAGCATGTATACTTGTGCTAGGGTGTCATAAGTATCGGATGCTCAGACACTTCCGAGACATGCAAATACGGCTATGACACATGTTAAATACGAATAAAAATATTTTGAATAGTAAAAAGTTTATTTTCTGGTTGGACACGGCATAGACACATTTTAGACACTTCTAGGATTCGGCCGGGCAAATTTATAGTTATTTTTTAAAAAAAATTATGATATTCAGTGTAAATCTAAAATACATTATGGGTTAATTTAAAATTTAATATAAAATTTAAGAAAGCAAAATTAACACACATCTAGCTCTAAATTCAAAATTAGTTATTTGTTAATCATTATATGGATAAAATGGCAAAAATATATATAATATTTATATAGTAGTATATAAAAATACATATTATATTATATTTTTGATGTATCGTCTCGTACCCGTACCCGTATCATGTATCCGTGGTTCATAGCAGCTAATGAACCAGTAGCTAAAGTACCAGAAGATATCAGACTTGCAGGTTGTGGATTATGGGGTATCTTTTCAAACATCGCCCATCAGTCCACAGACACAAGCTATAAGGCTGGAAAAAACAAAGGTAAGAACCACTTTACAAATCGTTTCGTATCAAAGGGTTACAACCTCACTCCAAATCTAGACCCACACTTGCCTCATACATTATTAAAACAGAGAATAGCCCAGTAACTAATTCGCAGGCAAGCTCTGCCATATTACTTTTTCAATGTCCATTCGGGGGCTGGAATACAGTATAACCATTGACAGGGTATGCAAGGTTTGAATACTCCGGAATATGATATGCGGAATTGTCTCCCTCGTTGTGCCTCAAGCTAAGAGAGGACAGATCAGAAGCAGCCATCTGCCACTGGTTTGGAATTAGCTCTCCCACCTGTCCATTCACATAAGGCCGTTGATTAGGTTGGGTAATCATCTCTCTCATCGAATCAAAGTAGCCACCGGAAGAGCCATAGCCGCGTTGGAAACCTTCATCATGGTAACTTCGCGTGCGCTCAAACCTGCAAGATCTGGTAGAGGGGGCCATGTCACTTGAAAAACCAATATCGCCAGGTAAAGTGTACTGCCGGTTTAGATGGCGAGGTCCATTGCTGAAACTTCTGAAGCCTGAGCTTGGCCGGTCTACCTTCCCAATTCCATGTTCATCATCAAGCAGGTCATTGATAATATCAAGGTGTGGAAACTCATCTGCCACTAAACCTTGGCTCTGACGCAGGTCATTGATGTTATCAAGGTGTGGAAAATCATCTGCCACTACCCCTTGCCTCTGACGTCCTGATGAACAAGCTGGAAAGTCAGTTGGGAAGTGATTAAGTGATGCACTTTGTACAGGCTTGTACAAATCATAGTTCTGTACATCATTAAGTGGGGAAGAATGATCAGAGTAGATGCTTCTGCTGGTATCTGGTTGATGGCATTCCACCCATTGGAATCCATTTTGTGAAGCTTCATGATTTGCAATTCCAACTGAGAAGCTTGGCCTGATTGTGTTTAAGTTCGTCCTCTCAGAGCTCTGTGGTAAAAACATTGGTGTAGATACCAAATTTAGTGGTTGTGAGTATGACTGTGATGGGCTTGCTGCCATACTTGGAGAGGGAGCTTGAGTTAAAGCAACTGTACTTGCAGCGACAGGGTTACCCATTATGGCACTGCGGTAGGATTGAGGTATATAACTATGGGTTGCAGCTGAGAGTTCAGGGCCCAACCGGCCACCTGCACTTACTGAATGTGATAATGATGGGGTTGTTTGAACCACAGAAACAACAGGAGCCGTTGGCCTTGGTGCTGGAATTAGACGAGTGTTTAGGGACCTTGACATGACAGGAATTTGCGGTGCTGGGAGTTTTTCAGTTGGTTTTGAAGTTTCAGCTTCACGAGTGTCAGGTTTAAGTGAGAGAGCATTTTCAGCCGAATGTATCAGGAGGGCTGCTTTATCAGTCTGTGAGGGGCTGCTTGAAAATTGTTTGCCAACCAAAACAGGAGGATTTATTTTCAACTCCGACCTCAGCTGAACAGCAGACGGCAGCTTCTCAGGGGTACTCCTGGGAGAGGTTGGCAACGCTACTCTCCTTCCATTGGTGGAAGATTTTTCAATATCAGCCCGATCTTTGATGCTCAGTTCCCTCTGAAGAGAAAAGACTTCTTCTTCCTATTACATCACATGGCAAAAGTTCATCTTGTCAATGAAATCAAAAACTTTGTTCAGATTTGGGGAAATAAAGTGGCTCTCTGACATTGCAAACAGTACTCTGGCGATGAACAACTCAAGGTACAGAAAGCACTTACAGAATTCACTACACTGCAACAATGCCATGGACATATAGCAATTTTTAAATAAATAAAAATTCAGTGAATAGGACATATAGCAATATTTATACCTCCAGAAAATCAAAAAACAAAATTCGGATGAGTAAAGATCAGTTTAACCTCAGTAAATTATCACTGTAGTCTGAAGACATGTTGGTTGACATCTTTACTAAATTACTTGTAAGAGATCATATGTGCCACATCACATTCAAGGGCACGAGAGTATATCAATGCAGAAGCTTGAGGGGTAGTTGAGAGAAACTTATGTCGTAGTTTTAGGTTATAACCAGAAATAAATAAATAAATGAGAAAAAAAAAAAAAAAAAAAAAAAAATTGAAAAGATAAGGTACCCACTCATCACCATTCACGAACTAAGAATGAATGGAAGGATCAGACTAGATGCATAATAACTACAACAGAAGAAAAGAAGAAAGAAAACAGAAAGATATCATGTGGCACAAATGCAGTCATAGGACACGGATAAGCAAACATGTCAAAATCCTATAAAAGTACGACAAGGATAGGGCATTGATAAGGCCATATATAAATACTATTTTTTATTTATAAGTCAAAGAAAATTATAGAACTTTAACTGATGTAAATTTATATACCGAGGATTGCATAACTCCGCTTATGTAATGTTTAATGTCTAATCTTTGCACAACCAGTTCCAATCCCGGAAAAGGAGGATAATGAATTTAGAAGATGAAATTGAGAAATACCGCAAAGATTATTATATTCAAAATAGTGTCATTGCATACTTTACTTTTCCTGAGTGCAGTGTTATTATCAAAGGCCCAAGACGAACTGGCACTAGAGGTCCTTTGGAGCCTAGGCACGCGCCTAGGTGAAAAATTAGATTACTATTAAAGCATATTCATATTCCATATTAAATGCACAAATGTTGTCAAAGGTACACCTGGGCACACAACAGGCACAAGTGTTGTGCCTGTATGAGCCTAGAGCCTTGGCACTCCTTTGACAACACTCTTGAGTATTTGCATAACATCAATTTTCTTAAACAATAAAAGATTGAAAAACACTTTTGAGGTGTGTACTCTTAAGTGTTTGTGTTATATAAGATTTCTGTTGCAGAGTGTCTCGGTCAGCCAAGTGTCCGAAATTTGTCATCTACTGATATGCAAGTGTTTCCTTATTTTCTGGCTCAATGCTGATATTCAAGTCTTCATTCTTATATTCTACATGTGCTAAGCCATGGCATGCCCCTTTCTAGCTGTAGATTCTTAAACAGGAAACAGAATTGATTAAGCAAAAGAAATCATAGTAATATCACCTTCTTCACCACATGTCGCTCAAGCCACTTTTTCCGATCCTGCAAAGAGAGTACAACAGACCCAGACTCTGATTCAGCCACCTTGCAACTCTCAGATACATCACTTGGCAGCCCCACTTCTTTTGAAGATTTGGATGGCTGACTGTGTGTTTCATTGACCAAACTAGTTGCATCACATGTCACTTTGACTCGGTCACTCATTTCCCTAAAATTTGAAGTGCCAAATCAAGAGAAAATTCCAACTTTGTCAAATCAAATTAAATTTAAAACAAAAATGTCCATATCATTAAATGAAGGTAGTAGGCTAAATTGTTACCTGCTTGGAGATTTTTGGCTTTTTTGGTGTCGAATTGAATTCCCATTGTAAAGCCCATTCGTTACCACTGATGGGACTGAATCTGTGGAACAGGTTGATGAACTATCATCAATTAGAGATGGGCTCTGCCTTTCTCTCATCCCATTATGTACGGACGAAATGGAACTTATCCCATTGCTACTGGCTTCTATGGGAGGTTGAACTTCAGATGCGTCAGTATCCCAACTGACAGGACTAGCATCTCTGTCTTCTGAATCAGGCTGAAGTATGTCAAGAACACAATCTACTGAATCCGACGCATCAGAAACATCTTCCAGCTTATCAGGCTTTTCAAGCAGAGTTTCTGCCTGCTCAATCAACAAGTCTTTTGTTTCATCACTAAGGTCATCTTGTTGGAGCTTGTCTTGCACTGCAACACCAGACATTTCATCCTTTCCTTTATCCTTACCTTTGCGATTATTTCGTTTCTGTTTACCCTGAAGTATAAAATTAGTTCAGATAAAATCCACTTGAATTCAAATGAAAGGGATATATTTCTGCACAAATAATTGTCCTCCTCATAGAGAGAGAGAGAGAGACCCACAAAACAGACACATATTGGAGACAAGAAAAGGAAAGGTTCCACAAGTATCATGTATGTACTGAAGAAAAATTAGTGTCTACTCAGGAGAAGCTAAACCACGACGACATCATTAATTAGGTGATATCACAAAGCAAGAACGACATTTTTAATGCCAATCGCGATTGTTTGGATAACCTGCAAATTGATATCAGGCATGCCAACAGCTATCTTATGAATTAGATAGTTCAACCATTAATTTTGATTATGGAGCGCACCAGCAATACTTGCATTTATGGCCCCCCCATGCCAACAGCTATCTTATGAATTAGATAGTTCAACCATTAATTTTGATTATGGAGCGCACCAGCAATACTTGCATTTATGGTTTCCCTTCTTTCACCCTGTTAATTTTTTAACTTTTAATGAACCTACAATCAATATACAGAATTCGGTATAATGTATTTCATATTATAAAACAAAGTTCGGTGGTTGCGAGAGCAATTCGGATTAACGTAGCCTTCCAACTTTGGGAAGATACAACCACTTCCAACCAAGAAGTCACTTCACACCCCTTTCATGCCATTCTAGTAAAACAATCTAATATGAGATAAAGGAATTCCTACCACCTTGCATCCAGGATTACCGATCAAAGAACAGCCCCCAGATTAAAATTCAACATTCTCAAGATAAGCAGGCACACACATGTTATCAATCAGAAACTAGAGCACCTGTAAACATCCTCAATTACCCAATTGCTCCAAAATCAAATACAAGTGAAAACATACAAAGCAGAAGTTTTGAATGTGTACTTTCTTAACTTCTGTAAGATACAACTTGAAAGTAAGTGTCAAACCTGCTTTTTCTTTGATTTCTTTTCCTTTTCCACCACACCACGTTTTGCTTTCTGCTCAGTTTCAGCCATCCATGCTGCCTCTTCTTCACGGATGAGCTCCTCTTGTCTCTTCAAAGCAACAGCCTCATGGTATGCAACCTCGATTTTGCTGCTGTAACGTGAAGAGGACAATTAGATTACTTACAGCCCAAAATTAAAAAGTAAACACAGAATTTTAGTTCATCACTGAAGAATGACAAATATTGCAACACTAAAATAACAAAATTACTCATTTCCATATAAAATATCAAGCAAAAGAATTCCATTAGTGTGATTAAATCAGCCAGAGTCTACGGAATATGCTTGAGGGAGGGACTTGGCGCAACTGTAAGGTTCCTCCATTGTGAACTAGAGGTCCCCATGTAGAGGTAAGTGAAGCAAACAGAAAAAATAACAAGTCTTCTTACAACTGTAAGGGAAACTAGGAATACTCCAATCACCGTCGCAGCCTAGATTTTCTAAACGGAAATCTGAAAAAAGCCTAAAGAATTGTTTATAACTGATAATAACTCAAAATGTATTGATAAAACTTGATTACCACAAATGTAGAGGGCTGCCCCTTGTTATAATACTACTATTAATGACACTTGACATATCCTAGAAAGAATTTTAGAATTCCCACACAGCTTAAATAGCACTTTACCACTTTCCTAAGTGAACGCTTAGTAGTTCCAAAGCTTAATTAATTACTACCCAGAAACAAGAATGCCTCTTTCACTTTTTCTTCAAGGCACTTTCCCAAAGCACCATTAATGATTTGCATCAGACCCTCCTCCTTGAAGAAAACTCGTCCTCGAGTTTGAAGAAATTTATCACGATCAAATAAGAACCCAAGTAAAGCCTTCCATCCTTTTGTTCTTCTTTCCCGTACTCGAACAAAACACACCAATCTGCTGTTACTGACAAAGAATCTGATTTTCAGACTTCTTTAGAAGTTTAGTAGATTTCCGAAACCTGCTTGAACACAAATCAGGAGCCAAGACCTGAATTAATCTGAATTTTGCATTGGAACAACACCTGATTATATGTTGCGCCAAAAATTCATCCCAAATCAAATCGTGAGTATGAAATTCATGATTTCTCAGCTCCAAGAACAAAGAAGATTCACTTTTAACCAAATTATGCAAGTAAACTCAATCTGTTGTACTGTCTAATGCACCAGTTACCTTTGGAAATCCAATGGTCTTATCTTCAAAAGTTCCACCTATTTGTTTGTTGACGAACATAAGCTCTGAAATTCCTACAACTTGGGAATCAGCTTGAGATATTTGCTTCAATTTCTTCAATGGTTCCCACTTTCTCGCCTCAAATCCACGATATGCAGATTGGATAATGACGGCTGCCTTAGCTTCTGACATGCTGCTGACTGCTTCCTCAGACGACTCCTCTTAAACCTCCTTTTTTCCTTCATATTCCTCTCCATTGTGGTCAAATTCTGGAAACGATGAAGTTGAATGTACCCCAATGAAGTCTTCTTACAACTGTAAGGGAAACTAGGAATACTCCAATCACCGTCGGAGCCTAGATTTCTGAAGGGAAATCTGGGAAAAGCCTGAAGAATTGTTATATAACTGATAATAACTCAATATATATTTATAAAAACTTGATTACCGCAGATATAGAGCGCTGTCCCTTTTTATAATACTATTTTTTAATGACACTTGACATATCCTAGAAAGACTTTTAGAATTCCCACACCCCTTTAATAGCACTATTGAAGATTCAATGGAGGAATCAGTGGAGGAAAATCTTTCAGTAATTGATATGGTTTCCTATTATTGAAGATTTGGTGTTACTAGAGGAATCAATGAAGAAAAATCCTCCTTGTTTCTTATTTTCTAATTCTTTCCATTCTCAGAATTTCTTCTCCTATATAAAGGAGCATCCACTATTGTATTGTATATGAATTGAGAGAGTATTATAAAGTGATGTAGCCCTTTGGGCTCTTTGTGCCGTGGATATAGGCCCTAGTGGCTGAACCACGTAATTGTGTTCTACTTGTTTTACTTATCTCTTCGCTTCTGTTTTATGGTTTACAACATGGTATCAGAGCCTAATTTCTCTTCCTAGGTTCAGACCCCTATTTTGGGGTATTCCCTTAGCATCTGAAATGTTGCTAAGAGTTTCTCGGTGCTATTTGTGAATTGTTTGGACTGCCGGTTTGTTCGGCAGTAATGTTCTTCGCCTTTGCCGTGTCTCTATCAATTTTTTATTGACTGGTTTGGGCTGCCGGTGTGTTTGGTAGTATTGTCTTTGTCTTTGCCGTGTCTCTGGCAGTTTTTATCGACTTGTTTGGGCTGCCGGTGTTTTCAGTAACATTGTCCTTGCCATTGCCGTGTCTACGGCAGTTTTTTGTTGACTTGTTTGGGCTGTCGGTGAGTTTGATAGCATTGTTCAATTACTAAAAGATTTACCTACCCAAAAACAAGAATGATTCTTTGACTTTTTCTTCAAGGCACTTTCCCAAAAGCACCATTAAATGATTTGCATCAGTAAGCTAGCGTACATCTGACTCACCCCAAACCCCGCAATGGTTGGAGCCATGTGCACTTGACTAGCCCTTTTTAATGACTGACTTCACTATAAGCCACAATTTGCTAGTATTGTATGATACCAAGTACAAAATAAAATAAAATAAAAGTATCAAACTTAAAAATACAAAAAATATATATATATATATATATATATATATATATATATTTGTGAACCCTTAAAACGGCATGAAGTGAAATAATGTCCTGAAAACCCATTTTCCCAAATGGATTTAGCTGGAATTTGTTTTGGTGTAGGGAGATGCTTTTGGTCATCCAAGTTAGATATCCAGAATACCAAATTGACACTCTTATGCCAGAGAAATTTGGATTTCATCATCCACCAGCCAATTTAAACTGTGCAAAGAAATCAATACAACAAAATAGTACAGCCATTAATTTCTATACTTTCTTCATCCAGAATACTTTAAAAAGCATATTAAAAATAGTCCAACCATTAGATTTGTATATTTATTTTGCATTAAATATTTATATGTATATATATATAATATAAAAAATAAAAAATAAATTAAAAAAAAAAAGAGTTCTTGACAGTCAAACTGAGCTGAAAATCATGAAACTGCTAAATAACCCATCTAAGCTATTTTTCTTTTTACAGAACAAAGGCCCGCGCATGGAGGATCCCGAATCTAAAAATAAGCATGCCCAGTGGCATGTCAGATGACTGCATTGTATGCTTATGGTCCTAAGATCCACAGAAACATGTTTTTCAAAGGGAAATTGAAGGTTGTTAGGAAGATGGAGTTTCTGGATGAAATATATCATATTAAGGATTTTATGAATGAACACTAGTTCTTGCAGGTTTTCCAAAATTAAAATTTAATCATGTTTTTGTTATTTCTCACACACAATCCAACAAACAATAGAATATTGACCCTAACAAATGCGTATAAGTTCAGAACAAAAGGCATAGACACGATTTATTAGTGTTTGATACATGTCAAACGTAGACATGTGAGGAAAAGAAGGTTTTGATTTTCCAGAGAAAAAATTAAGGCAGACGTAAGTCCGACATATGAGGATACGTGTCGAAGCATAGATCCCTTTGAGAAAGTTTCAGAAAGGGGGGGATGAAGTATAATGTCTCCTGCGGAATCCTTGATAGTATAGCAGACCCTCTTGGTCTAGCCTTTGTTCTTGGGCTGTGCTCGCTCCCCTTTGAGAAGTTTTCAATGAAATCTTACTTATCAAAAGAAAAAGGATGAAGTATAATGTTACACATATCAGACACAAACGTGTCTTAATTTTTTCAAAAAAAAAAAAAAATGGGTACACGTCAGAAGCCATCCAAAGTGTTACGTTGTGATTCCTAATGACACCAGGAGTATGGAAGACACGCATGCTGGTTGGTAAAGAACAGAGATTGACTGGAAATGGTTCCAGGTAAGAGGCGTGCAAGACCACAAGATGGTACCTCTTCAGAGTTCAAGCAGGTCGACTCAGTTCAATTCGAGGAACTTATCGCTGGTCATGGACTTGACTATGAAGAAGGGAGTTTGCCATCCCTGCACAAATTGGTCGGGAGCTAGAGCCGTTCCCCTGAAGAGGCCATGGCAGGCCGAAACCAATCAGCATATATCCTTGGGAGGGCAGGTCGTGGTGGCTAACCAGGGCGCTTGCGCGAGTAGAAGCCACGCCTTGGTGCCGCACGGGCCGTGCCGCTGCGCCAAATCTCTAGGCCCGTGATAAATGGTATCAGAGCAGGACTTGGGGCAAGCACAGAAGTAGTGCCCCCTCGTCGATCCGGGGTCTGAGAATGAAGACGGTGCACTGAAGTGCGTCGACATAGAGGGAATCAATGCAGTCGGAGGTGAGCCTCCATTCCCCATGAAGAAGCGTTGTATGAAGTTGTGCAACAGAGAGCCAGAATGCTGCGAGCACCAAAGTTCGTGCGAGCTCCTTGGGTGATGCAAACCGTGGAGAAGGGTGGGCATCAAGTCGGCAAGAGGCCTTTGCTTGCTCGCGATGCCGCGGAGGTGGCATGACAGAGAGTCGCGTCCTTGATGAGTGGACGTCCCCTTGGTTCGAGACCTATCATTGGGCGAGTGCAGTGCAGTGGGCTGCACAAGGAAGCGATGGTGGAAAGGCGAGAATACCACTTGGAGGCAGACTTTGGAAAGGAGGGGACGCAATGGAGTAGCGCCATACTGCGACGAGGGCATCGCAGGATTCAGGTGGGGGAGTGTCACGTTGTGATTCCTAATGATGCCAGGAGTATGGAAGACACGCATGCTGGTTGGTAAAGAGCAGAGATTGACTGGGAATGGTTCCAGGGAAGGGGCGTGCAGGACCAATGGATGGTACCTCTTTAGAGTTCAGGCAAGTCGACTCAATTCAGTTCGAGGAGCTTGTCACTAGTTGTGGACTTGACTATAAAGAAGGAAGTTGGCCATCCCTGCACAAACTAGTCTGGAGCTGGAGCCATTCCCCTGAAGAGGCCACGGCAGGCCGAAACCAGTCACGTGTACCCTTGGGAGGGCAGGTCGTGGTGGCTGACCAAGGCGCTTGCTCGAGTAGAAGCCACGCCTTGGTGCCGCACAGGCCGTACCGCTACGCCAAA